GTCCATGATAAACTTTTAATTATTATCATTATGTCGACATTAAAATAGAAATATATATCCCAGATCCCTTATTCACTAGTCCATTCTATCATGCATATGCATATTATTTATCGGTTCCATAGTATACCGGTATTAAAAAAATTCCTTTAACGTACATTTTGCATACTATTTTACTATGATATCTGGATACATTTCTTATTGGTACCACATAATTTTCTTACATCATAAGCCATCTATTGTAATAATTCAGATATCTATACCACTTTTAGGGTATTTCATACACTATGGTGTTTATATACTATTACGCTATTAGTGTTAACTGCACTATCTTGCCATGTATCATATCTGTTAGACATATCTTTATTTTGGAACCGATCATACAACCTACACTTCAGGTGTAGTGATTCAAGTATAATTGGCAAAATTTTATCTCAATGTATACACATAATATGACCAAAATGAATCTTCAACGCTATGCAACATGAGTCATAACTGAATACAAATCAAATCATATATGTGCAACATATCTTGATAGTATATAGACAAAAGTTGGCATATAATATATTTCAAACTACCATTATAGGGATCATTAAAAAAAAAAAAATTCTTTTTATTCGATTTTTTCCAACTTTTGTTGTTTCTTCTCCCCCTAAGTTGGCAAAATATCTCTTTTATAGGGACGTCTAATTCTATACCAACTTAGTATATAAATTTGCATTAAAATTCATTTCATTGGGAGGATCACAATCAAAATTTATCTCTCAGAAGATTTGTAGTAAACAAGATTTATCACTTCTGGAGAACAATTTCAATGAATAATCAATTATTCATTAACTTTACATATCACGTGTATTTATTATTACATTTTCCATAATATTTACTCTTCTGGAGATCAATGTCAATGGGGAGACATGTGTTGTGAAGTTGTACGTTTTTCCTTCCTTTCCAATTTCTTATGTGCTGACATATAATGGCCCCAATCACAAAAGAATTAGTATACAAGCGTGAATCACTTGCTTGTAATTCTACTAGGTGTTGATCTTCTAGATCTTTGAAGACTTAAATAGTGTATTTGGTGAGCTTCTGGTCACCTAATACCCTAATACTTAACAATAATATATAAGTTATTCTGGTGAACTTCTGGTCACCTATTGCTCTTTCATATGTATGAAAATCAAAACCTATTAACTCTTGAAATTTTCATCAACACAAATTATTATAGCTCAATTTCAATGTTATGTCTTGCCATTCAATTCATTTCATATATCTAATATTGAGAGAGTGTCAGCACATTATCAAATGAAACTTCTGGTTTCCATAACGGGTATTTATTGAACCCGAATGGCCTAATTTAATTATCACATCCAATCACATCTCTGAAATTGAACTCTAGTCAGTTTTCCAACACTAGTGATCACTTTATTAAACTTACTTTATGCATGGCCATGAATATGATGTGATATTAGAACACCAACATGTGTTTCATTATATAATTGGCAAGACAATCAACTAATACTTGATCCAAAATTTTATACTCTGCTGGAACTTTGACTATAATCTTGATACATGCAAAGCTTGTTGGACATTTTGTACTCTTCTAGAGTACTCTATATAATCATGGTACATATCCATTTTACTAAATACAATCTCTTATAAAGGTTTATCAAAATAAATCACTTCCTCAAATTTGCTATTGTCAATAATTGCTCTTTTCCTGTTTGAATATTCTATCTTTGGAATCTATTTGGCTCGGCTACGGCTATCGTGCTTCAGGCGTGCTTTGGGTTCATTAGCAACTAATGTTGTCTTTTTGGGACATCAATTTTATTAGAGCATTTACAATTGGTATATAGCTAATGACATTATTGACATCTATTCATATCCATCTTCATTGGTATCATTTTGAAATATATTAAATAACATGTGGCAACTTTTATTAAATAAAATGTTAATATTTAAGTTAAGGTATGTACCAAACTGACCATCAATATATTTTGTTATTTATGTGCAAGGATTACATAAAATAATAAAATAAATACAATCTCCCCCTAATCCTTGCATGTGGGGCATGAAATGAATCCAACAACCTTTAAATCTCTTTCACCTTTAAGGCATAAATTCTTTTAGCAATGCATGTATCAAGCATAATAAAATTATCCTTATAAACTCTAACCCGTAACTCTTGCCCAATTATATAATCTCTATAAGAATGGGAATAATAAATATATTTTTACAAGTTTTCCACAATGCCATCTATCTCTTGCTCAAATAAATATTGTGCAATCATGTTTACTTTGTAGATTGTATAATTTTGCATGAATTATATTCATCACGAAAACGTGCATGTATCATCTTAATCAAGAATCTAGTAATCTATGAATCATTAATACTCAGTCTACTTTTCTAAACTTTTGTATTATTCTTAAGGGTTTTGGGCTTTACAAGTTCAAGAAACTTTAAATCTACGTGTGTGAGTACTCTTTATAAATCTAGGGAACTTCATGTCCGCACATCTTGTTTTTGCACTTCTTATTTAATCAATCATAATTAAGAAAACGTCATGCAAACATGTTTGTTATCCTTTCAATCCCAATTTCTCATTTGCTTCAAGGAGTGAGTAAATCTAGTAATTTATGATTTACCAACTCACATCCACCCAGGGTTCGGTGTCGTCTAGAATATTATTCAATGTCTAGCCTTTCATATATTCTTTCTCATGGCGTTAAGGAGAGAATAAACTAATTATAATAATAGTCTTGCTCATATGTAACAAATATTAAACGTGCTCATATGTATAGACTCTCATCTCATTTATAAAATCAAACCAAATGAATGTATGAGCATTAAACAAGTTATGTCGATAGCATTTAAATAACAAGTAACGAGAAGGTTAAACAGGTTTCATGCAATCTTAAACGTGTTAAATATCACAGTAATATGGTGGTCATACATCTCCTTTAGATTACTCCAAATGACTTGTGAGTCTTTAATAGTCAAATACTTAGTCTTAAGGCCTTTATAAAGGTGATGGCGAAATAATATCATAGCTTAGCCTTGTCTTGGTTTGTTGCTTTATTATTTTCTTTGATAGTATCACCAAGTCCTTTTGCATCTAAATGTATTTCAGCATTTAATACCCAAGATAAATAGTTGTTTCTAGTAATATCAAGAGCAGCAAATTTGAGTTTTACAAGGTTTGACATGATTCAATAATATAAAAACAATATTAAAAATTAGGATTTAAAAGAAGTTAATGTACACATATCATTTTGTGGTGCATTAGTTGAGTTCGAATGATTTATAATTAGTATTATTGTTGTACCAACTAAATATGAACGCATAGACAAGAAAAAACACGTAATATTTGGCAAGTGATATAAGGATTAACACATGTGATGTAAGGTTGCAAGAGTCGGAGAAACGAAGGTAGTCTACGCACTAACACATGCATGTGGATGACACGGTCAACACACACAACAATTTATTTTCGAAACAAATTCCTTTTACTGTCGACATTATAATTTGTAAACTGAGGGTAAGGCTGAAGACATGTATCCTCTCCGTTATATGTCTTATAAATAAAAATATATAATGAACCTATAGTTGATTATCGAGAGAGAGAGTACACAACTACCTATCCTCTAGATATAGCTAGATATAGAAGCATATTTGCTCTATAATATACTTCCTCTACTTCTAATTTAATGACACCTTTTAATTTTTGACACTATTCACAATGTAACTTTAACAAGCCTTTTGTGATTTATAGATAAGAAATAACAGTCACGTGGGATCTTGTTACAGTCCTCTTAATGTGTACTTTCAAATATCAATTTTTTTTATTTTTTTATTTTTTTATTTTTAGATATTCCAATACAAAGCCACATGCATAGCAAACAAGGCATAATAAAATTTAAGCAATCATATCAGATACATAGGCAGGTCAGAATATTAGGATGAAATTGGAAACGAGTAAAACAAAAATAAAGTTTACCTCAACACAATTACTCAAGTAGTAGTACTACGATAAACAATTCAATGACAACTTACGGTGAACTACTATTATTTATGCATCAAATATAATCCATCAAAGCATATTGTATTCAAATATAAGATTACACCTTAAAGAAAAAAAATAAATAAAATTAAATGGTATCTTTAAGTTGAGGAACTCAATTATGGAGTATATATCACCAGGAACAATAACAATCGGACGAAAATCAACTAAATATGCGGCAATAATATTTATAATTAAGGCTTTAAAATTCATAATTTAATTACGAGAAAGAGAAAAAGGAATATAGGTCCCTTTTCCGGTAGAGAAAATCGTAAAGTTGCTAATCTTAATATAACTGAATTCCTTCATATGTCTGCGTATTAGTCGGCGATGGTGCTGATAACGTGTTAAATATGAAAGAGAAATAAAGAGAGATACAAGAGAATAAATCATTCTATCTTATTCCATAGAGTATATATATATATATATATATATATATATATATATATATATATATATATATATATATATATATATATATATATATATATATATATATATATATAATATAACAAGGGTTTGCTTAGATAACAATAAACCCTAGAACTAGAATATTCCAGAATGATAGAAGGAGAATAATGTATATCCACACAATATTTCATAAAAAAAACGAATATTTTTTTTGAATGGTATAGAAAGGGGTGATTTCAATATATAATAATAATCATTCGGCACTTACAATCATCCCTTAACAGATGTAAATTTTCCATACAAATACTAAACACATCTAAACTAATAGCATCACTTCTAAACTGCTCCTCAATAATTTTAGATGTTTTTGCATCGTTCTTGACAAAGCTCCATTGATATATAGTCACATCGACTATAAAACTAATGAAAAGCCAAATCTAATTGTTTTGGGCAGGGCAATACGTTCCATTACAGCCTACAGACTACAGTTAACAAATGCCAAAAAAAAAAAAAAATACCTCATACAAGTTGATGAGCAGTCAAACGTCAAATTGATGTCATAGTCTCCCCAATAAACATTCCAACACATCAAGATTTTTTATTGTAAACTCAAATTCAACTGTCTAAATTCTATTGTCGATCGATCGAGGAAATAAATTTGGATTTTCTTGTAGCGAAACACTAAGATGAATGATGGATTAGGCAAACAAAAAATCGAAGAGTACTAATCTTTCTCTAACCATTTTAATTAATCGTCAATGTTTAATCTCCTCCACAAAACTTCCTAGTCCCTAATAATGAGCAAGGAACAAATGTGAATGAAGCCTGAAAACCTAAAACCTTACTTCAAATAACATCAGCAAAGAGAACCTTTTTTAAATACACCACTTAGTTTTCCTTCAAACATGAAGAAAACTATCTATTCCATTCATAATCCCCCGTTCTTGTGTTTGAGCTGTTGATGCGGTTGCTGTCGTCTGGTTTTATGTTATCGGCAAAGACATTCCAACCTAAAAGGTATGGCAAGACAAACTGCACATTAAGTAATAATGGGTTAATAAATCAGATCAGTGAATACATCACATAGTTCATAAGCTAGGAGGGCAAAGCATCTGAATACTGCAGATGCTTGAGATGAGATGAAAGGATCAGAAAAGAACATTGAGATATTGTATCTTACATTGAATGCCGTTACAAGAACTGCAAACTCTGCTTTAGAGATGGGTATATACACATTCTCGTCCAAGTTCAAAAGCTTGTTTTGAACACCTAAATAATATCAGAACAGAATTAGGAATGACACAGATTACAGACAAGCCATCAAAAACTTTTTAAAAAAAAATAAAAAATAACTATTATATACGAGTAACCATGAATAGAGCTATTAAAAACACTTCTCTATTAGAGGGTGTTTGGTTCACATAATTTTTGTATGAGGTATGGGTTTAGAAAGTGTTTGTTTATGAATTCTATGAGGGGAGGTGAATATGACTCATCCATAGCTTTAGGTAACAAATAAAAGAAAATTGTTCATTTCCAAACAAAACCAAACACATGGCATCATGAATCAAGTTTCAACTCCATACCACCCTAATTTCATTCCTAATTCCAAACCCATACCACTTTGAAAACCAAATGCCCCCTTAATTTTAAGTCTACCATGGTGAAGCAAAACACAAATTTTGTGTCGTATGCCACGGGAATGGGCAACCTCCAATAACAGGGCATGAACAATCTAGGAAACAAATTTCAAGATTGGAAAACATGAATTACAAAACAGACTGCCATAATTTCCTTCAAAAAAATGTATCCTAACTGCACACTGTGCTTATAACAAGAAGCTAATTACAACCCCGGAATTCACGACATGCTTAAAATAATACTTCAGAAGTAGACATGAAAATTGTCAGATTAAAAGCAACACAATATGACATGACATCAATCAATCAATCAAAGCCTTAATCCCATAAATGGAGTCGGTTACATGAACCAAAATTAATTATTCCGTGTAGTCATCCACAAAAATCTTCTTCCTCCATCCCTTACGATACAATGTTTCATCCTCATGCAAATCCATATACTTCATATCCTTTCCAACTCCTTCTAACCAAGTCATTTTCAGTCTCCCTCTCCCTTGTTTAACCCCTCCATGGTCCCACTCTTCTACTCTTTGAACCGGTACACCCTCGGGTCTCCGTCTTACATGCCCAAACCAACGCAGGCGATTTTCCCTTAGTTTGTCTGCAATGCCAGCCACACGTACTTTCTTGCGAATAACTTCATTTCTGATTCTATCTCTTAGAGTGTTCCCGCACATCCACCTTAACATGCGCATTATTGTAACCTCCATCTTTTTAATGTGCTCCTTCTTAGAAGACCAGCATTCTGTACCATAGAGCAACACTGGTCTTATGGCAGTCTTGTAGAATTTTCCCTTCAACTATAAGGGAATGCTTCAGTCACATAACACTCCCGTGGCCGCTCTCCATTTAAGCCACCCCGACTTAATCCTATGGGCCACGTCTTGATCAACGTCACATTTTTCTGGATTATCGACCCAAGATACTTAAAACATTCACTCATGGTCAATTCCTTTCCATCCAAACTCACAATATGACATGGCATGCAAAAAAAAATTCCAAATACCAAAATTGTAGCATATGGATTTAACAGAAATGAAAGAGAATGAAGGTATTTTGGTTCGGCAACATAGGCTCAAAAGATCAAAGAGACAATGAAAACCAATATGTAAAAATAGTCCAGACATCCTAGTCCCAGTCCCAGGAGATCCTTGGATCTATTCTCATCCCCGCCCTTGTGGCTCTCTAAACACCAAAAAAAATAGTCCAGACAAGAGGAGAGAAGATTTGTGTCACAAATACAAAGTCACAAGCGACCTCAAAGGATCTGAGACACTAATTTTAATAAATAAAATAAATAAATAAATAAACTTTGAAAAAAAAGACAGGTATATTAGTAATCTACAGAAACTGGATACAATTAAAGATAGCTTTAGCAGTTAAGGTGTTAATCACAGCAAAAGTTTTTTAAATTAGCATAGCATGCATTACTGGACTGAAGTATTTCAAAGGGACAAGTACACTAACAGATTTCACTTAGATGATAGTTTTCTTCCCCTCTTTTTAACATAAATAGCAAGATTCAAATAATGAACTGAATTTCCACACTGGTGTGCCAAGCTGGAGTCTAGACCTTCTAGAAGTGAACCATACATAACCTTGAAACAATTAAATTGGAGGACTTGCATTCGTCCATGATCTAAAATAACTTTACCATTGCTATACTACCACCTGAAGCAGCTGATGTTTGCTACTGTGCGTCACCTATGCGAAAAAAGGAAGGGCAGTTGAGGAAAATTCAGTCTAAATTCTGCAATCATCTTTTGGAGATTAGCACATCAGGGTGGGATTTCTAGGGCAGGATGAAGAAAGGTAGTGAGAAAAATGTCAGATATCAGTTATTTGTAATAAAAAGGGAGAAGAGAGTGAAAGGCAGACCTTGTATGTATTGGAGTGGATGCGTTAAAAGGGAATGTGTGAGCCTCTCAAATAAATATTGTTACTCTCCTTCCTGTCTATACAACATTATCTTCTTCCTTCTGTTCATTTCTGCACAATTTCTCTCTCTAACCCTCTGTTTTTATTTTTCTCTGCTTACTTTTAGCTCACTGATCTGATCTCTAGCCATACCTTGTATGTATTGGAGTGGATGCTCAGACCCAAGAAGATCCAGGGCCAAACTGCTAGTCTACCCAGCACTCATCCCAGATGCTATCCAAGGTAAGACACACAAAAGGCAGCAGTAAGAACGATTACAGTTAGTTACAACCACTGTCATGTCTGCGACATCATTACATTCTGTTACTAGATATTCACCTAATAGATTGTAATAAGTTTACTTTCTTGTTTCTTTTCTAGTTAGTAATGAATGTATATTGTAATAAATAGAACAGCTTTAGTTCTTTGGAAATCCATTCACATAAATTACGTTGTTAAATCAATAAAAGAAAAGTTTCCTTGAATTGAAGGACCTCTAGCAGTGCAGGATAAAGTGTGCGTATGTTCTAGCTAATAATTTCAAATTTTACAGCTGATTTCATGAGTAAAGTAGGCCTTCACACAACAAATTGACAATGCCAATAGCTAAGTAGCCTAGTAGTTTAGCTCCTTGAATCTAACAAATACTTTGTCATTCTATATTGAAGTAGTAGCATGTTGGGATCCATAGCCATATTGTGTTTCTATTTTGGAATTGTGATAGTTTTTCAGGATAATCCAAAATGGTATACATTACTATCATTTTCAGAGAGACGGATTAGTAAACAACTAAAAAAATGTTCTCTTTCACTTTCAGGCCATCCCCATGTCAAGTAGAGATCAAAGAAATAGATGAAGCAGAGCAATGAATCACAGCAAACAGATAGAGTAATATAAAGCACAAAGCATTCACTATAGCAGAGAGTTCAGGAGAAGGAGATTACTTAGATTAAAAAAGTAGCCAGAGCCATCTGGAAGGGGCTCTACTTTTAATACTTTCCTTACTTTGCCTTCATCACTGCATTTTAAAAAGGAAAAATATTTCAAGTACACTATGGATCATTCATAAACATGAGAACTTGTAAACATAAGAAACTTGATAATCAAATGGTGGCTGCTGGCACTTGCACATGAAGTTCTTACTTTAGCACAATAAACACCCCCCCAACACACACCACAAAAAAAAGGACAAAAATAAATAAAATCATCATCCAAGCAAGTTAGCTAGCACATATAAAGCTGGAAGGAGTTGACTTTGTATACATAATTACATATTACATAGCATTATAACTGCTTAACAAGCATATGGGAACAGCACCATATTGTGTTAAGGGTTTCAGGTTATTCAGTATTTGAGCAAAAAAGCTGATAGTTCAATAACCCAACTGACAAGGTCAGAAAAGATCAGGAAATTGATGGGATTAAAGGACAGGAGAGGAAGTCATGGAGCTATACCCTTCTTTAAATAATAAATAAAAATGGATATGGAAGTATTCACCTTGTCTTTCCCCTTAATGATGCCACATTGGCACATCCCAACCCAAACAACAGAAAAGGAAGGCTCCAAAGTCAGCAGCATATTCTACTAACCACAAGCACTAAAAATGGTCAACCTAAATATGATTCAGTAACCCACTCATTTGTTTTGAAAATTAGAAGTATAAGATATAGATTGAATTTCATCAATCTTTATCAACGTCTGTTTGGAGTGAATAATAAAATCAATTTAGAATTGAGAAGTAATAAATTAAAAGTTTAGAATTACGTGGCTGCAGTGATTTAGTTTGTCACAAGTGGCTCGAATGCAACATATATGGGATGTCACCTATCAAATGTGATTTATACTAAAGTATTCGACTGCAACATGCTACCAAACGTCTACTCTACCTCTAGACCCCATAAATAATTGTCCTCAAAAACAATCTTGAAGTAAAGCTCTTCTGTAATTACTGATAATTATTTATTGATGATACATAACCTCTACAGTAGTGCTACACAAAAGCTACAGGGTTGTCCCAACATTTCCACTTTAAAAATTACCACAAGAGCAACATCAAACATTCAGTGAGATAAGCATTTCCTTTTCACATGTCTCTCTAGCTTGTGTAGCTACAGCTCAGGTTTTTCTAAAGGTCCCCTAAACAAGTATCAAGACATGGTCTTAAAGTATTCACGCATTGATGCTTCATTTCTGCATACATATGTTCAAATCATAACCAGTTCTACACACCTTATATAGCACAACATATCATTCAAATCTTTCCAAAAGATAAATAAATAAAAATAAATTTAAAAAAGAAAAAACCAGATCCCACACCAAATTAGTCACTCTACTGCAGTTATACGAATACAAACAACCCTACACAAGGTAAGGGGGATCATATATATATGCAGCCTACTCCAATAATTCGAAGAGGCTTTTTGAGCATCATCCCAACAATTGCACAGAGTAATAGAGGATAGTTTCGTTAATCCATGATGCCAAAGCACTGACTTTAAAATAGTTCGAATCACAATAAAAAAAGAAGAGCAATTCGAGAGACATTTGTTTGCTTGTCCAGTGTAACCTAAAACTGAAAAAAGTGCTCATTAGAGACTCCTTCAACATTCTAAAGTCCATGGAGCCTTTCTTTAAGAAAGGCGTATTAATAAGCTGGCATTGGAGTCTATCATTAGTATACCTAACAGGATAATCGGCCTCAAAAGGCAGGATAAGATGGGTGTTCAATTTTCTATGACATGTGACAGATACTCAACAAATGAGTATTGCAGCTAGTAATTCATATTTACGATAATTTAGCAACTATGAATCAGCTAGGAGTTGCCTAGGACATAGGTAAGAAGGCAAACAGAAGAGCAGGCAATGTAAAAGTAGAGTTCACAAATCACTAGATTAGGAAGAGATATGTATTATTCCACTTTATAGGGAAGATGTTAGCATGGTGGACTCTATTGTGTAATTGAACTCAGTTAAAGGAAGATAGTTTATAGTCCAATACTTAAGCTTGAATCTTTCACTTAATATTGTTTCTTTAGTAGGAGATCAGTAACTTGTGTCAGATACTACATATAGAACTAATCCAGAACTAGTCAATCTGTAGAACTAGAATTTAATTGTTTGAAGCAACAACTAGAAGCTGCATTGATAAGAAAATTTAAGCAACACAATAAGGTTACACATTTCATATATGTGCTGAATGTCAGATTGGCAGGCAGCCGAAAGACAAATCAATAAAAAGGAAACAGGGGGATTAATGGTCAAGACGCTGTGAGGTAAACATCCATATCCAAACTGTTCTCTCTCTAACATCACTTTACAATTTTCAAAATTATAAACAAATTCAGCATTAATATATATGATAAAGATTTAGCATCCTTTACAAAATATACTAGTAGTACCTTTTTCCTTTGTTTGGGTCATGAAAAAATTCACAAGACTCCTTTGCACCAAGGCTCACTAGACTTCCAATTTCAGTCACTGAAAGAGAGAATACCTGGAAGTGCAATGCTTTTCAGTATATAGAAATGCATCAACTTGACAAACAAAAAAGACCATATACATTATATAAAAACAAAATATCGTTAATTTTTAATAGGCCTTTGCATTAAAGCTCATAAGTTCATTAGAATAGGAGTTCTCAAACATTTTGTTACATATGGTGATATCAAACATTCAAATTCTAGAAGCCACTAGGAAATTTTATATAAACCCCTTGCATATGATGGTCCACAAAGCATACTCTTATCGGCCATCCGATTGAGTTGCCAAATAATATGAGCCCTAGATATAATTAGTACTCGTAGATGAAAAAATGTCATAGTCTCATACTCTCATCTCACCTGCTTTCTGCTCCAATCATACTGACGAACACCAGCAGCAGGAGCAAATTGAAGCAGCACGTAACCCTCCCTCGAAACTTTAAATGCGCCTGACTATAACTAAAACACTTGAGTTTTGCAATAAAATTCTGTAATTGAATAAATAGAACAATACAACAATGAGAAGAACCAAAAGTCCATGGCGTAGCATACATCCAACGGCACAAACTCTGGAGCTTTCGGCTCCACGGTAAGCGCAGCTTTCCCTTTATATATGGAATGCCCCACAAAAACCTTAGGTGGAAAACCTATAATTCAACATCAAAACCCCAATTACTACAATACAAAATTAAATCTATAATGTGTTCAATTACCAACTTATTTACAAGACTATTAATCAAAATTTAGCATAACTGAACAACAAAGCAATAATCACTACCTCAAGAAAAATCAGATACCAAGTAAACTACTCAAATTCCAACCAATTGAAGCAAACAAACGATTAAACGAAGCAAACATGCAACTATAGAACACAAACCCAGAAAAATTAACGAATTCAGAGACAAATTGGAAGAATAACCATTTCAAATTACCGTTAAATACCCAAATTTCAACCAATACTTCCTCAGGAAAACAGTTAAACATTCATTAAGAATCCAAAAACACAATTAGAAAACTACCCAGATTAGAATTTTACCTGAAGAAGTGGTTGAAGGATTTGGTGAGTAAGAGGGAGAAAATCTAGGAGGAGACTTATCAAAGTATTCTGAAGACTGACGACATTTTACAGAAAGTGAGAGCTTTGATGAGGAAACATGGGATACCCAATTTCTGGGAAGCTTGAATTGGGCAGTATTAGTGATAATGGAGTTATGAGAGGAGAGAGAAAGGTAAGGGAGAGAAGTTGGTCCATGGTTTTGAAACTGAGCTCCAATGGAGAAGTTTGAAGAAGAAGAAGATAGGAGTTGCTGCACCATTTTTTGTTCAATTTCTGGGTTTCTCCCAAAATCAAAATGTGTAATTTCTTATTTGACTTCACTACTTCCTTCACAATGGACTTTTTAGCCTTAGCACAACGAGGTAACCCAAAGTTTTATGTTACTTCATTCTCCCTCCGTTTTTTTTATAAGTTAGAGTTATTATTTTCGTCCGTTTTTTTTTTATAAGTTAGAGTTTCATTTTTGATAATATCTTACAATTTTAGGAGGCGCTTGAAATGGGGGTAATAAAAGTCAAACTAGGTAAATTATAGTTGATTAGAGGTATTATTGTAGGGAGACAAGATATTTATAAATGAATTAAGGTTGTAGTGACATAAGGAAAAGAGAGGGGTGGAGGAATCATTACCCTCAAAATGAGGGTAAGACCATCTCCAATGGTGAGATTTGAGGGAGTTTTTTGTAGGAGTTTTTTTTAGGAGAGAGAGAGTATATTTATCCAAACTTAGCAACTCTAAAAGAAAGTTGCTAAGTTTAGATACCCAACTTTGAGTCTCATTTGACAAAAAGTGTGGGCCCCTTATCAATATTATAATATATTTTGTAATTTATTTAAGTTTTATTTTTTATTTTTTTTGAAAAACTTAAAATGTGGATTTGGTGGGCCATAAATTGAAAGTGACATTAGTACACTTTAGAGAGTCTCACCATTGGGAAATTAGACTTCACATGAGTTGCTAAATTGAGAAATGGGTTGGATATTTCAATAACAACTCATTTTGAATTTCAATACTCAAAGTTGAATCTCACCAATGAAGATGGTCTAATAGGTTACCCACCCTCCCCCTAGTGTAACCTATTACCGCCAAAATAAGGGTAATAGTTCTCTTTCTTCACCTATCACCACACCATCACTATATAAATCTTCTTGCAATTACATTATCACTAGCTCCCCCTCTCCTATGTTTACTTTAATTTTGCTTGGTTTGACTTTTATTACCCTTTAATTTAATACTTCCAATCCAAGCGCCCCCTTAATAATATATCTCTACCCACTAATGTCCTCATGCTTTCTTACTTTATCACTTCTCACTCTTCTAATGGTCCCCACTCCCTCTCACACCACTTTACTTTTCAATAAAATAATAACTTTATCTACCCCACTAACATCTTATTTTATTAAACCACCTATAACTTCGCGCAATTTCATCTCTAGCCTATAAAAAAACGGAGGGAGTATATGGTTATGTTTGATTCATTTGATTTTGCTTAAAATTACATAAACAAGACCTTTTGAACTTATATTAAATATGGAAAAAAATGGAAGTCTAATTAATCTATGTGAAAGACCTCTGTCACAAGACAAAGTCTAAGTAACACGTTTTTGTTAATGTTATAAAATGTTGTAAATCCCATAGGGTTAGATCTTACAGTACAATGCTTGGTTAATGAACTTGACTGTTTGATTACACCCGTATGGTCTTAGGATCATTGCAAACTTCCTGAACTGTCAAAGTTCATGCCAGAGCCAGATATCACAACAGTTCTTTTTATCAATGAGCTTAAGTACTCAGGCCTTTGGCTCTTTGTGCAATCTTCCTACACAACCTGAACTACCTGTAATTTCCACCAAATCTTGATACACTTCAAACTTGTTAAGAAGAGACCATGACAGAAAAATAATGTTTGGTACTTGTATCATCTGTTCCACAACAAATAGGTTACAGTCCCACAATGCCTCTTTGGTCACCATAAATATGTACAATTCCAAAACACCATAATATGTTTATTGGTCTAGGTAAAAGCTCCCAAACCCCTTCTCTGCCTTCTCAAATATCATACAAATTGAAATAGCATAGATGTGGGTAAAGGGCAACCCACCCAAGCATTCAAAGATGTAAAGATATTTTGTACAGACCAGTCATGGGAATTTCCCAAACTCTATAATTATTCAAAATCAGATGTTAAGAAATAATTAGATATAGGGAATAAGTGCATTCTCATGATTTTCTTGTGTCGTCTACAATTTGTTGATAAAGTACATCACATATCGACAATAAACTAAAAGTAATGAACAGGCAGAATTATAAGGCAACTTAAACTTGAATATGCATGCTCCACTAAAGGCAATGACTGTGAGTTACAAGATTATTAACCATGAGGTGTCGCATAAGAAACTATTGCAATGACAAGATATGTAGAGCTCTACAAATTGTATATTCAGATTAGAGTTTTTATAGATAAATTGCAACAACACTTCAACAGAGAAATAAGAAAAAGAACAAGTGGAAATTAGAAACTTGTGTATGTTAAGGTGCAGATGCTTGAAAAGAAAAACAAAGAATTAGGTTAATATACAACACAAAGACACAATAATATGAGTCATAGATTCAATCATCTTTACAGAGGAATTTGTTCAAAAAAATATCTACCGGTCCACAAAAGTTTGATGCATTTGAAACTTGAAGACATGATCTACCAAATCATTTTCATATATAACCTCGAAAGATTAATTAATTATCAAAACTGCTTTGCAAAGTGCTTGAAACTTGAAGTTTGATGCATTTGAAACTTGAAGACATGATCTACCAAATCATTTTCACATATAACCTCGAAAGATTAATTAATTATCAAAACTGCTTTGCAAAGTGCTTGATGTGTTAGACCAAGCCACCTACAACCATCTAAACTATATGTACATTTCTTCTTCACAAAACCAGATATATAGAATAAAAAAAAAAAAGAATAGAGAATATAACCACAATGATGTTTGGAACCAGTGGAAAGATGGCTTGGAAGCAGTAGCAAATGCAATATCCATTGCCCGATAGATGCAATCGTCAATGCAGTTGTCAATGATAGTTTTATATATAATGTGTATACAAATTTAAACTTGTGCAATGCATCGGTATTATAGTTGAAATAATTTAGTTAACATGATATGAAAATTTATATAAAACAAATAACAATAAAATTTATGTATAAATTAACAAATTTCGTGAAATACGTATATATATTATATTGCACATAGTTAACACATATAATGATGTGTATTGATAAATTATTCAGAATTTGCATATTATCATTCTCATATTAATTATTCAATATTAAATAATTCATTATTTCTTCATATTATACATATTTTTAATAGGATTTTTTTATTTTAAAAAATAAGTGGGTTTAATCGACCTGTTACTTAGGCGTGAAGCTCTAGTTCGATCAAATACTTAAACACTTCAATGTGGTTTCCAACAATTGTCCCATGGAATGGAGTAATTCCTTGCTTATTCTCCATTTTCAACAACTTTACAAAATGTTTTTGCACTTTGTTCTTCTTCAACCCTATTTGAAATCTCTCTCTTTACCTCACCATTCAAATCTTCAATGAAAGGAAGATGACCTTCCCTTGAATTTAAAAGAAAATTATCATTATCATCCTTTCTCAATGATATGTCGTTGGGAACTCTCCAACAGATTGTAAAAGCTCCATAAAAGCAGCCACATGCAAAATTGTCCGTCCATTTGGTGTAAAACATCCACTTGCATGAAGATTAAGAGTCCAACTAAGGTCTTTAATCATGTCAAGATTAACGATACATTTCGAGGTTCAATATCATACAGTGATATGAAGCCTTGAATATCTGGTGTAGAAAATCATTGCTAAGATTAAATATTGGGAAATTCTCTTTGGTAACATTGTAATTTTTAATTTTCTCAAGGGTGAATTACGAAGATTCTTATTATCTTTGGTAAACCTGAATTTTTTATATTAAGCTAACCATGACATTAATGATAAATTGTAGTTAAATATTTAACTAGAGTTAGTTTATTAATTTATTTTATTATTATTTTTTTACTTTCAAAAAAAGAAATAATTTTTTTAAAACAAAAAAAAGCCACCCCTTCCCCCACCAACCAGCCACCAGCCCACCACTCTCCGCCCCCAACCACGCCGGCACCCAACCCCTCTTTCGCCGGCGCGCCGGCCTCCCCCTCCCCTTCCCCCTCAATCGACAGCAACAAAGATCGCAACCATACAGCAGCATCAATCAGCCAACCACCTTCCCCGCCCTCGACCTCTACCTTCAATCGCTGGCGTCTTTTTTCGATCTTGCCCCATCCTCCTCCCCCGTCCTAGCCACCTTTCCTCACCTTTGTCTTGAAACCTCGCTGAAGCGACGAACCTCAACCAGTCCTAAGCCTCAGCCTGCGTGTCAACACATCACCACTGTCACCGGCCAAGCCCTATCGACAATTCAATTACTTCCGTTTCCGGCCGATTCAATTACTTCAAGAGGTTTCGCGTTTACTTCCATTTACTTCCGATTCAATCGTTGTTGTTTTGGGTAAAAATTCCCAGGCCATGTGGCCTTATCAGAGGGTGACACGTGTCACCTTAGGAGAGGTTCAAAATGAACCAATCCTTAGCTGACACTTGGCATTCCCAATATGTGGGGAAAAAGACGGCCTTTAGGGCCCAATTCCCGAGAAAAGCCGCAAAACGGCGCAGCCCCATCAACATGAGCTAGGTAGGGGCACATTTACTAACGACCCTATAAATAGGGAGATTACCCCCATTTTGGGGACACGTTCATTTATTACAATACAATCAACTCTCTTACATCAGAGAAAAGACCTGATCTCGGAATCCGAGAAGATCTAGATTTACCTTTTCCGCACCTTTTTACTTTCTCCGTACACGTTCTAACTTGATCGTCGGAAGCGGAACTCCACCTAACCGGAGTCTCCGTTGTTTTGCAGGTACAGGCGCTCGGAATCCAGTCTTGGTGACGTAACTCTCCCAAGGGACACAGTAAACCCCGAAACGGCTGCAAGCCCAAGTAGAAATTAGGGTTTCACGTTCAATTTCCTGTCGATTCAATTATTTCAAAAGGTTTTGTGAGCTTGAATATCACCATTTTGATGTTGAATTCATGTTGATGGTGATAATTTTCCAGAGAAATTGGTGAAGGAAGAGGATGATGTGAATCGGGGTGAGGGGTTGAGACTTGAGAGTCGAGGTGTGGAAAGGAGGGAGTGAGGTCGCCTCTGGGCAGCCGACGCAGGGTTTGGGGATGGCCGACCGGTAGGAGACGGGAGCCGGCAAGGGAGAAGGAGGGGGGCTGCCGCCAGCAGGGTTTGGGCT